ACCTGCGTAAGAGTACAAGATCCTTCTAACTTGATCCTTTGGTACGGTTTTCGTGAAGCGTGAACTTCCCATATGTGACTGTCATCTCTCGATCTCATGCAGTGGACTTCAAGGAAGTCTTTATTTGACTCACTCGGGTAGTTTTAGTAGGTTGTTCTTTGCATTGTTGTGACGAAGTATGGAATTCAAATTTTTCAGTGACTCCAGTTTTACTGGTAAATTAGATGAAAGTATGTGTCAATCTTTCCAAGTAACTAACAGTGTAATATGCCAGCGCCATTCATGTTTATTTTTTTCTTGCTATATTCTATTCTACAAGAAAAATCCTCTTGTAGATTTGAAGCTGAAGTTGTGGCCGGCCATTCATGCAAGGCGAGGTATCCTGAATGTTGCTGATAGATCAGTGGCCAGTTTCACGCCATCACACTACTTACAGCACTACCTGAGTATGACTGCTAATGCAGCTGCAGTTCCGGGTCTTGTTATCGGTGCAACTACTGAATATTTGACCAACAACTATCATACTCAGACGGCACTTGAATTTTATGGTAGATCCACCAGGCTCGAAGCACACTCACACTGCATGGTCGAAAAAGAAACGAGGAATCAGCCTCGTTCTCAGGGTATTTCTTCTTCCTGCTCAGCCCCTTGGAAACGAGGTTCGCGAAGAAGACCGCAGAGACTGTATGAAGGGTCATGATCGCGTGATCGACCCTAAGTATGATCAACACCCAGCGGGTAATCTCGTGATCATAAGTAATTTCGTTCACTGTCGACGTCGACCGACGGTGAGTTTGCCTTTAATGAGGTGGTTTCCTAACAAGCAAATGAAAAGTGTTCGATTCCTTGCTGACAAATTTTCACATAAAGTATGTTATATGTCAAACTCAGTGCTAGCTTGTTGTCCAGTCTCGTACCTAGGCCAGAAAATGCTAGGTTAGTGAGTCCAATTTTTAAGTCAAAATGTAAGTTAAAACGAGGAACATCGAGAACATTAAAGTTAATACTACGATCAAAGGATTAAATTTAGTTCAAAAGAATCAGAACGATGTGGTGGGTCTCTGCCCGGGCCTTTCTTGACTGTTAACCATTTACCTAGCCTGCGTAGCAGGCGCTTGGAAGTAGCGGGCGAAAGAGAGAACGGGCTCGCGCGAGGGAGACACGCAAGGGGTGAGGGAGCGGGAAACGATTTTCGGGGGCCTTCCGTGCAGGCGCTTCCTCTCCCCCCGCGTGTCTCCTTCTCGCGCGCCCGTTTTTTCTTGTGCCCACTACTTCCAAGCGCCTGCTACGCAGGCTACCATTTACCCGGTGGGACGAATTTTTCGTACAGGTTCGCCTTCAAACTGACGCTTAAGGTGCGCTTCGCAGAGGTTTCTCTTTCCATTAACGCTAATCAAAGGACCTAGGAGTAGAGACTCCAATCAAGCGATCGGGCTTACCATCTTCCTTTTAGCTCGACCTTTGTTTTCCCGCAGGTGAGGCGAAAAAAGACGTTGTACGGTTGGAGGGTAGTATTTTTAGGTCACTTCTAAGGAAGTGTTTAATTGGCCGCAATAACCTTACCCGTGATCTGACTTGCGTAGATTGAACTATACGCAACTTCTTATTACAGCGAATTTCTTTTAGTCTCATGTAAGCTTGCCAAAATTGTACGTTCGGGGGTTAGAGGCGGAATCTTTTGACTCTTGATATTCATGATTCCTGTCGTTTTTGCTTCAATGATTCATGATTCCTACAAGAATTTTCTTCCAGATTCATGATTCGCGAAGACTTTTGATCACTAGACTGCAAAACAGTGCGTCTTTTTGCTTATTCAAGTACTCGCGAGCAGTCAAACAAAAGGTCTAGAACGAGGCTGAAAACAGAGACCCAGACTGGGGAGAGACGCTTTTTTCTCTCGCCTCACATGCCTTACGGGCGTATAAGGCTCGCGCACTTCACGCGCGTAAGACTCTTACGCCACGCTTTACCGATTTCTTTACTGATTTTGAGAAAAAAAACCGACTGTTTTGCAGTTTATTTGATCACCTATTCATTGAACGATTTTCACAGTGGCTACGTAGTCTCGTTTTGTATAGTTTCTTTGGTGTTCAAACTTCTCTTTTCATCCAGAATTATGTATATTTTGGACCACTGTTTCTCAGTATCACCATTCGTTTTGTCCACGTGTGGAGTTTTTTGTAACTGAAAATTAAGCACCAGCATCACTGGAGAAACAAGCGGACTGTCAGCCCCGAACGCATTCCGGGGTATGCTCCCCAAGAAAAAAATCTGAAAATCATCGCAGACGGTCGGAAACGCCATATCTTCCATTCGCTGGATCGAACTTAATTAATGCTTACGTCTATTTTGTTGAGATTTTCTCAGAGTCTCGTTATTCATGATTCCTGAGCCGAAGTACAAAGATTCATGATTCTTGCAACTTTTGTAACTATGATTCATGAATCCGCTTCCCATCGAGAATATAGCTCAAAACTATGCTTAAACATAGCATTGTTAAACGTATTTTAGTATTTAAACGGTAGATATAGGCATATTTTTATCCCCTAAAAATCTTTCAGCTGTTCGGATTTCCTAGCTGAAAGTCTAGTGATCCGAAAATTATATAAGGATTAAAACTGACCTTTTCGAAAATTTCAGCCAGAGAAAAGGCTCCCAAAATTTCTGACTAGGTGACCTTTTTAGGGTAAGAATCCGTTAAAAATGGGCAATTATACCATTTTTTAGATTTTCGAAAATCCCGGCTAGCAGAGGTAGGCAAGTAAGAAATTTTACAACAAATGTTCCGAAAATTCTAGATCTCAAATCGTCTTCCGAGCAGTTATTTTCCGAAAAATTGACGTTTGGTGCCCCTGCCCGATGTACGTGCTAACTGAGGAAATCCATTTAGAAAATTTAAGACGGATTAAGGGGTTTGTTTGTACATTTTTGAACTGGTCAAGGGTCCCTTCTATTCGAAATTCGAAACATCTCAGTTTTCAACGTGACAAATCTCAATCTTGACAAATGTGTCCATGCTCGTCGAGTAAACGAATTGTCAAAACGTAGGTAGAATGGCCCATTGAAGTTCCATTTTCCATGAACTTCCCTCGAGCATCAGTGAAGCTAGCCTTCCACGCAGGCGTTTTAAGGGGAGCTCGTTTTTCATTGTGGGGAAAACAAGCTCCCCTAAAAACGCCTGCGTGGGAGGCTACAGTGAAGCCGTCGGCCTCCATGAAACGAGACTGAAAATGCTTTGTATGCAATAAGCATAAGTGGATCAACACCATTGAAACTGATTCCGACTGCCATGATATTTGGAACGTGTTCAGATAGACCAGGCGTCTGCGTAAATAATGGCTGCTCCCAAATAATCCCATTTAAAAAAGTTAGGGAATATTCTGTACAAATACCTGTTCGTGGAAAATTAAAATTATCATCTGTCACTGACAATAATTTAATTAATAGTAATAATTCAATTAATAATAATACGTGTAATGAAAAAAAACCTTTACAACGACAACAACAGCAAGAACTGGCGACGGCCGACGAAGGGTTGCAGGCGGGACAGCTACAGGGGCACCCAACGGGAAATTTTGAGAAAAAGACCTAAAGACAACAACAAAGCGTGACTAAAGTTTTTTGAGACTATTTTAAGCATTTTGGGAGATTGCTGAAAAAAAATTATCTGTTCCTCACTCCCAGCAAGACTGAAGGAAGAGTTCCCAGCCAGCAATCTTACAACCTGCAACCTGACTTACTCCAAAAATGCCAACAGGAAAAATAACAGTGCCCTTTGTCGATACAACAACCGTCTGTTTAATAAAAGAAATAAAACTCTCCTACCTCTGATAGGGTTGTGCCAGAGTATGACGGGGTTCCCGTATCTGTACCTTCTCATTCATTGTATGAAATGAAAAAAAAAAGAACATTTTCATTTCATAAACCAGGCTATACCTTTTTCCAGCTGAACCGCGGCGAGTGAAGAAATCATCTGCAGTTTTTCCAGCATTAAATGGCCACAATTCTTGTCATTCCTTTTCCATTTCTCTTTTTCTTTACACATAACACACTGTTCTTTGGTAAAAGGAAGAAGTAATTCGAAAAATAAAACCGGCACAATCTCTCAGGTATCATTTTATTTTGATACTAAATGCGTCCATGATATTCGTGATGTATGCTTGGAACTAACAATAACATACGTGCTATTTTAATTACAGTTGATCCTAAGTTAGACAGATCTTCTGTTCTGGTAAATATTATCATTAACTAAAAAGAAAACAATTTTAGCCTTCTTATGACTTCACCATCATAAATCCAGTTCACACTCCCTCAAGTCGGTCGACAGTCCATTCTCGGGCTTGAGAATCCCGCGACTGAGTTTTATTCTCAAACCGTCATTCAGGATATGCCAACTTCTTCAGACAGGAAAAAACATGTGAAGAGAACTTGTACAGGAGAAATCACCACATTAAAGGCCAAGGAGGCTTCCAGGAATTAAGAGCAACTGACATTTTATATAAGCCGCAGAGAGAAGTGGATTGGAATAAATCTTTCTCTGGGTCATAAAATTGAAGTGGCTAGTCGGAGCGTTTTAATAAGCATTGTCTGTGGTCATAAACTGCCACAAATAAAGATTTTTTTTGTCTACCTATGGGATATAATTCGAACATTTGAATATTTATCCTGTTTATAACATGAAGATAATCACGTCAGATATATTTTGAACAAATTTTGGAAATAGGCCGCTCGCTCTTTCTTTTGTTTATTTTATTTGTCAGTTTACTTCATTGGGCTAAATGTCGTTCCTGGTTCAGGAAAATTGAAGTAAATATCTCTACACGGTAAATTAGTTTTTATATATAGTTAAATACTCCTTCCAAGTGAATGTCGATGTCAGTGTTAAAAAATTCTAATAATATTAAGGTTCAGAATTGACGGATACATAGAAACTTGTTTTGTAATTCAGTCCACTGTTCAGAAGTCAACTGTTAACTCTTCAACGCTTGTGTCACGCCGGTCTATCGACTAGCTTTATACACCTCTAGCCATTTTTTTACCTCTCCTAAGCTATAGTTATACGGCCCTGTTCCTCCCTCGTACACGATTTTTCTATCTTGTATAATGAAGAGTCTCTCCGGGTAGGCACCATACGCTTGAGTAGCTTCGTTATCCATAGTATCAACCAGGATTGGAGTCGAGCATCCACTAGACTTTTTCAACATTTCAGCTGCCTGACAACGCTCTTGTAAAGTTCTGTGCTGCAAGATCTCAACGTTGTTCTGTGAAAAAGGCCAGAAAGAAAAATATACGAAAATGATAGCAATGTCACAAATGCCACACAATTTAGTCAATTCCGCGGTCAGCTGGTCAGTTGATCGAAAAATACAGGCAACAAAAGAAATTGAGCCAAACATAAATAAGAAAACAATTAGAAAAGAAAGCAAATAAATAGGACGGACAAAATTGAGGACGGATTCATAAGACGGATGATGTTTCGGAAAGTTGTTCAGCCAGTACGGAGATTCTTTAATTGAAGTAAAGTTAATATGTCTCTTTTTTTGTAATTTATCATTTTGTCGTTCAGAAGTAATTTCAATTCTAATGGTATTAAAATAATTTTTTCGTGAAAATAAATGTGAAAAAAAATTTTTTTATCAAATTCTGCATGCAAAATCTGCATGTTCCTACCCTGTGAGCAGAGGCTACATTTTCGGGGTATGAGCTGGCACTTCCGCACGCCAGCTCATACCGCGAAAATGTAGCCTCTGCTCGCAGGATAGAATGTTCCTTGATCAGCGGATGAATATCAGAGAAACCGCAGAACAAAGAGATTGCCGTATATGATTCCAAAGATGACGCATTGACCCCCAAGGGCTAAAGAGAAACGAAAACACCAAAGAATGGCCCTTTTAATTCATTTCTTAGCAGTGACCATAGTTGGTCATGGATCCTCCAGAATTAAAGTATATTTTAAGGTATAATTCACTGTTCTAAGTTCTTCTCATAGCTTCTCTATTTACGTTGTAATTATATTTATAGGTGAAGGACTGGAATTTCACGACTTTTAATTGTCAATTAACCATATTTATCCTTAAGATTTAAGGATTTTTTCCTGAAATTACGTTTTTCATGCTTAAGAGCAGATTTGCGAACTAAAGATAACGTGTCAAGTATAAGCACCATTCAAAGAACAGATTATAGAATGTTTTCGCAGCGGCCACGCGGCCACGGTAAGCCAGGACTAAACCATTTCCTTTTGGGAAATTATTTTCCAATCTCATAGAAATATTTTCATCATTGTTTTACTCCTTGAAAAAGGCCGCTACGGAAACCCTGTTAAAGAATTCTTACGTATCGATTACGTAATAAACTGAAGAAACAAACAAACAAAAACTTACATTCCACCGCCATTCATCTGTAGGATGTGCTTCGCAGATGTACACAATAACAAAGTCTGCCACATCTTGAAATCCCCGAACAACGTTTGTGAAGTTGTTCAGGAAATTAAACAAGAAAGGTGGTCAGCTTCGACTGCCAAAGTTAACAATGAGCGGTCGAGTTCCTCGTGCGAAATCCAGTAGCTTACAAGGTTTTTCGTCTGTGGTGACTAACTTGCAGTTTGGGGCGGACGAACCAAGTACAGCGGTCTTGTTTAAATCCCCGAGAAAAATTTTTAAAACAACTGCCAGCATTTTTTTCCCACCGTAATCGTCCCAGAAGTTTTGGTAAGGGACTAGATTATGCTGTTCCTCGAACTCTTGGAGTCTTTCCTTGAGGAAAGGAAGTGAGGAGGCGATTCTCAAAAGGCCAACGATAACTGTACATTTTACGACTGTTAAGCCCACAAGGACGCTTTGAAGCAACTCGGCCAAAAGAGGCATTGTAACAACAATAGCTAGCTGGCAACACTGATCCGGCAGCTTTTCAGGATTGAGTACGCAAACAAAAGCACTATCCGATAGATTAGCTCGTTACAAATGACTGGCCTAATTGTACGTCATCACAAAAATTGATAACCCCCTTGTGGAATAATTGGACTATAAACATACTTTGGATATTTACAAATCACTTGTTGAGTCGGACAGTTGTGTCTTAGTGCATGTCACGGAATCATCTCGTTTACTTTTTTCTTTCTCAGGTTTATACACGCCCTTAAATTTATAAATACCGCGAACAAGGAAACTAACAAAAGACTCGTAGATCGCTACTGGCGTGAAAAGATCTAGGTCACCGCTTCCTAGTTTCAATAAAGAATCAATCATGCAAGGCCCTAAGGCAACCACCACAGGGTCTGGTTATAGGCGTATGTTAGGGCCTGTTTACATGGCCTGGGGGACCCCGGTCTAGTGGGGTTGGTTTCTTTTGTTTTCACGCTCTGGAGGACACAAAACAAAAGAAACCTACCCCACTAGACCGGGGTCCCCTACTCCATGTAAACAGGGTCTTAATGGTTTTTTTAGTTAACAGTTTGCGCTCCACACATTCTTTTAAAAGTGTGTCAATTAGACACGTTCTCTTTCTCTTATTTTCAGAGACTACTGCTGGTGAGTGTAAGAGGCGGAATGAGTTTGCTGAATGGCATGTGGTATGGCTTGCGGAATGACATAATTATGCGGAGTTTAATTTATGGAAAATGGCGCAAAGAAAAAAATTCAACAGGAAAGCATGCGCGCATCTCTGCCGCGCCTTTTTTGGCGCCAATTTGAGCAAGCAATCGATTTAATTTGCCGGTCCATTTATTACTGCTATTAAAGCAAGGCTAAAATTGAAACACAGTTGATACACGAATACTTGACAAATCATCCATACCTCGTTTCCAAAATAAACTGAAACGGTTCTTTACTCACTTCTCATTTCTAGTGAAGCGCAGTGAAAGTAGGAAAACTTGTGAAGTTTAAACAGTCTTCTATATAACCTGAGCTACTTGGCTATACTCAAATCAAGGTTCACTCTTTACGGTAACGCTAGAAGGGGAAAAACGCTCGCTGAACGTAAAGTCGGGCTAGCAATAATTCTAGGGATTTTTAATACGGTGAACGAATCAGATCACGAGACTAAATGAACGCCTCGAGTCAAACATTAATTCGTAATCCACAAATCGAGTGAAGCGGTGAACTGCTTTCTGCCTCCTTTCGGCCTTTCCGTGTCTCTTCGCACCTCCCTTAATTGTTGGAGCCAGCCAAGTCATTAATATGCATTTTTTTAACAGTTAGTGTGATGCCGAACCGGCTTTACTAACTTAATAAAGGTGAAGGTAAAGCGGGTAAAGGAGAAAAAATGCTAAAAGTAGGAAGGAAAAGAAAAAGAAAAGAATTAAGAAAGAAAGAAAGACAAAGAGCACACAAACTCAATTTGCTTCTCGGCCAGCCACCACTCCGCTTATCTATGTCTGAAGACGTCTTACTCTCCGCCCAGGCACCTGAGATCTCCGCTGCAGATAGACAAGATAAGAACATGAGGTATGATCTCTCTGAAGAAAGTAATAGCTCGAGATAGCTGTCGAGCAGCTCTTCCGCCATTTTTTGTATAAACATATTTTTCAACTCACAAGAACTTTTGATATCCTCACAACTAAGAGAGATAAAGCAATAAGGTCAACGAACACCTTGAAGTACGTTAGGAATTTTGGGTACTTGTCGAATCTGCAGTTGATGACAATTGAAACAAAGCTGTGAAAAAAAACGCTAATCGAAAAGGAGTGACCACCGCAGCATGTTGAATGCAATTAAGATAACTTTAAAATTCAAGTATTATCAATGTCTTAATATAATGATTAGCGAACTTGAGCTGCAGTTGTATGTAGAAGTGGGCAATGACTTGTGGTGGTATTTTCTGCTATTAAGATGTATGTTTAAATTACCATTTAGAGAAAGGAAAACAAAGGTCTGTAAACAATTACTGTGATGAAGTGCCACGGAACAAATAAACAACAAAGCAACCGAGAAAAAAGACGACAAACAACAACTCACAGCAGTTAACGCACGAAAACCGGCCCAAAAGTGGCAAATTTTTGAGAACAGTTTAATCTCGAGAATTCTGCAAACGCCTGAACTGACAATGTCATCTAAACTGACTGAACACTGATTTGATGAATCTACACTGTAAAACCACCGAAAAATGTTATGGTTAGTCGGAGTCACATGGTTGATTGTTTTGTGGAAGCTACCAGTTTTTGCTGCAAATAGTGACCCCGAAAAAACTCAATGAAGAGGAATAATCTAGACCAAGTTCAGACCAAAATAGGCAAAGGCTGTTCCCGTTTTCAGACCACAACGGCGCCAAAAAACATACCCTCTGGGGCGGCGCATACCTATAAGGAAACTATAATTAAGGGAGTAACGCCCCGGATGAGTGAAGTCCCCGGGCGGGGATTTCAGAAACCTTGCAGGCTTTTTCTGCTGATCAAACAGCCTTTCAGCAGTGTTTGTTTGTACTAAATATAGGAAAAACAATGGCTGGAATAGATACTCTACTTAAGACAAATCACGTAGCCAATCTCTTCACCATACAAAATTTCGCTGCCAAAAAGGTTATTCTTGAGCGAGAGCTTTCAAAATTGGGCTGTTATTGAAAGCATTTTGAGTTCAGTAAATGCTCTAGTAACAAAACGATTTCGCTTTTTTTTTTGGTAGTTCTTTAAATAATGATCTTTTGTTCCTTTGGGATGCAGACATGGCATCTCAAAACAAATTTGTCACATCATTTTTGCGATAAACTTTGCTTAAAGGATCAGACAAAACAGATCGGGTCCATTTGTCAGTGTTAGCTGGTTCTATCAAATGCCCGACAGTGAGGAACGGGCCAGGAGACCACAGGCGACCACAGGTAGCCCAGTCTTCTTGAGTGTAATCGTCATCATCATCTCGCTTAGGTTGGTAAAAGCCAGTTAGGCAACACACCAACCACTTACAACATATAACAGTAAAAATTACATGCAACAATGAGTAGAATGAAAATAAAAACATTTAACTAAGTAGGGTTATAAGCTCCTGAACTAAGGTATTGTAGTTCTTAAATTCTTCAAAAATGCGAGGTATATCGGGGAGGAGCTGATTCCAATCTCTAGCAGTTCTTGGGAAAACAGGAAAACTCGAACAGAAGCTTAAGTCAAGGCATCAATTTACATTTCCGAGATCCTTGCTTTAGTTAGGTTTTTCATGTACTATCATCCGCAAATCCCACGGCAGCAGGAGCATTCAAAACATAGGATACTTGACGAACGTGTTTGACTTCTAAGTATGCGTTGGCCAAGGCGTTTTTTTAGAGTTAATAAAAGGTAACAGGAATAACTTATTAATGCTTTCCGTTGTTGAGGTTAAGTAGAATTTAGTTCGAGGCACGATCGCGATTTTTGCAAGGCAAGTTTTCATTGATGGCAGCATCGCGGCCTGTTAAGGACTCAGCACTCACAGAAATTATCCTCAGAACGCAAAAACTTAACTTCCACGATCTGCGTTTTTGGTTCGAAGTTGGATTCCATTTGAACATGAGAATGAATTCGCTTTGTTGTGTGTAATCTGCTAAGTAAAAACCTCAAAGGGCACGTAAAACCCAGGAAGAACCACTTTTTAAGTGTCACCTTTGCTAGTCTTGCTGAGTAGACTGGAAAATTTTCAACAATAACGGAAATCATGAACTGAGGTCTGTGAGGTGGTCGACAGCCTGACAAATCTTCTTCAAACAGTACGATTTTCGAAAAGAGGGCATATTATGCCATATTATATATGCGTGTGGACGTGAATAGGAAGTGCGTCATGGCCAAAAGAGAATAAGTTAAAAAAGTCTTACTGCCTACTATTTTTGATGGTATAATTGGAGTCTTTTGGTAAACTTGGATTGTTGCGATTTATGCCGCTGAGCTGAGTAATTGAATGCTGAATAAATCATGAGACGGCTGCGATTACATGACTTGCCTACATGCGGTTAAACTTTTTCTCCTCAAGACCCGTAGACTACAGGTTACGTGATGATTGTATACGATGTTTGGTACCTCAATAGCTCAAGAACTAAAAGAATTAAATGCCCATAATCGAAAGTCAGAGATTGCAGTTTCCACCTAATTATGATGGAAAAGTCTGCAAGATGGGGATCGGTTCAACTAGAATTTGGGCCTTTGAGCTCTGAGTCAAGATACCGTAAAATTCCGAAAATAAGCTCCGCCATGTATAAGCCCCTCCAAATATAAGCCCCCTAAACCGGTAACGCAAAAAACCCTCCGTTAAATCGCCCCTCCAAATATAAGCCCCCCGGGGCTTGTACTTGGAAAACTACCCTCAAATACAAAGTAAAACATAGCAAAAACGGTAAATTTACTTCTATCTATAAGGCTAGCCCAATCGATTCCGAAACGCAAATCTCCCTTCGTAGTTAAGCCCCTCTGAATATAAGCCCCTCGTCAAAAAGGGCCTTTTCTTTACTACGACTTTCGATTTTTAAGCCAGTTTTAGTCTCAGAAACCTCCACTCTTTGGGCACTTTCCTCAAGTCAGAAGTGGCCGGCTGGACTGTGGCCCGAACAGTCATTTCGAAATAAGCTTTTTTGAAGCTTTTTTTTTGTTTTTTCGAAATAAGCTTTTTCCAAGATCGGAGTTTGTGGGAAAACCAGCTCCTTCGTGCATGCTGTTTAGGATTTGACTGATTTTGCTGGATGGTATTAATTAAAGTGAAATTCTCATCACGACACGAATGGGCTTGCCGGTCAGTTCTGACAAGCGGTAAGCGCCCTGCTCTGTTCCTGACCCGATAACAAATCAAACTGGAGGAAAATGTGGGTTACAAATAAATTGTCTCGTGCTCGCAGTTCTCCATTATCTCGTAATCTAAAGGTTAACCCTCTACGTCCTTTCAAGCCTGTTTATTCTCCAAGGAGCTCTCTATATTCATTTAAAACTGGAGATGAACAGAATTGGCTAGTCAACTAAGACCTCTTTTTCACTCTAGCTCACTGATCTTTTCTTTCATCGCTCTTAAGCTGTGTTTGATTACGCAATGATATTTTCAAGGAGAAACTGGACGCTGCAAGACGCTCTAAGAGCTCTTTTCCTTAAAAGGCATAAAAAGGGTAACCAGCTAGGAAAACGGATAGACACTATTCTTTCTGAACCCAGTACGTGTAAAAGTGAATGTTACCGACTTACTGCAACCACGTTCATTCCTGTAAAGCTGTCTATTTATTTTCACGAAATTAACCTTTTCAGAGATCCATGCCAGTATTTTTCCAGTTTCTAGTTGTTTTTGTTTTTATGAGGGTAACAATACACCTTTCACGGATCAGTCATGAGGGAGAAGAATATCAAAGTTATTTTGGCTGAACACAATCCTTACATCACCCTCTTGACACTGATGAATTTTCAGTCAACGGATTGGAACGTTCGATTCCGTCATACCAGAAGGAGGTCAATCATTTCGAAATGTTCGCCAAGTGGGCAGCACTGAGACTTTTCGCCTGAAACACCTGAAAGCACTTCAAGTGCGAAATATACTTTTTCACCGACGACTAAAGTGGATGAATCAGGAAAATCCACTAGTTTAATAGTTTGGAATGATCTCTGAGTGCCAGAGTGCACTTTCGAATTCTTCGAAGAAGCAGAGCTTCCCTGTCGAACGGGATATTTGTCAACCACGATGTTTACTTGTACGTTTCGTCACCACTTTGCGAGGGTTGGTTTGCTCCCAATTAATTTGCAATCTTTAAAGATAAGGAACACAATAATTTGACTAGTTGAGAACGGCATAAATGGACACAAGGACAGGCGCGTTCAATGTAGTGGTACACTTACGCTTCTCCCTTAGCGTTGCTCCCTAGAAAATTATCTTTTTTTCGGGTGAAGTTTTTCTTGGCATTTTTTGCCCTTTTAGTCTCTTACAGTCCAAATTAACTATAGCGATAAACCCGCCAACGATGAGCTACATTTTTGTTATACTTATTTAGTATTCTTTGATGAATTCCAAAAAATGTGTTCTAAAAAACACTCGAAAGTCGCTATAATCAGTCACTGACGTTTCGTGTGTCAGAGTGGGGTGATAAGAGGGTCATGATAGATGGGTACAAACTTAATTTCCTACCTTTAATTTCGCTGAAATCCCACATTTCAGCCCACTGAAATATTACCTCGAAATCTCTTTCGCGGTGACAACTACAGCGCTTTAACACCATGAGGCCAGAGGGTTTATCTCGAGCACAGCGGGATTCTTGGAACGGAGCCGGCCGGCCGGACGGCCAATGCCCATTTGAGAGTCCTCGAGGCATGGCCTCGCCAACACACGTCAAATTCGTTCCAAGGCCTCTCCGCTCACTCGCACGAGGCTTCTAATTAATATACACCAGTCCCATGTGCACAGGTGTGGCTCACTTTCAAGCAAAGAACGTGTTTCAAAGGGAATGAGAGCGCTTTTTACGCCTTGTTGAATAATAAGCCCCCCTCTTCCATTCAAAAAAAACAAATCTGCAGGCTAAGGTGTGTCTATTAAAGGTGCCATTTTATATGTACGTCATATAGAAGGGTGACCTTTTCTCTCTCTCTCTCTCTCTCTAAAAACTGTACATGCATTACATGGGCTTAAAACCATTCAAAATTTCTTCAGAAACCCTCCCCAGTGATCCCCCAATAAGTGCTGACATAGTGCTGGCACCTTTACCTTTTACACTTTGTCCAAGGCTTCTAGTGCAGAAAGAAAACCTTTTCTAGATGACATAGATGCTAAATGGTGAAGTTGTATTACACTGTTTAAGACTCAAGATCCAGGAAACCACACCTTGTTCAGCGGTACATACCCGTTTGGGCCAAATGAGGAAGTGCTGACTCCCCTCCCCAGGCGAGAAAAGCAAAATGAAGCAAAGATGCTTCAAACATTAGTTTTGTAAAGTTTAACAATATTATAGTCGCAGTTAAGGAAGGAGATACATGTAAGAAAGCTTTTTGCAATATGCCACAACATTACTCGAGATAAAACAGGGCAAGGAAATGAGACAGTTAAAATGTAGGAATTGAGAAGCACAAACAACAGATTATCCAGAGTATTTCTAACAGACATCAATTGTCAACTTCGTCCAAAAGTATTAGGGTACCATTTTTATTGAAACCACCAACGATGTATGTAAAGCTGTGTAAAGACATATTCTCTCTCCTGTCCGGCACTTGGGTATCAAACTGAAAGGCCTTCTGCATGAGTTTATCCTTCAGTTGTCATAAGAAGAATCAGACAAGAAAATGATACATCATTGCCTTCATGGTTTACAGTACAAAAAATTGATATAAGTGATATAAGGGGTGCACATCAATTGTGGCTTTTAAATGTAGCATGTGGGACAATTATAAATCGGCCACTTGCCTGTTAACCCAAGGGTGGCCATCAAATGGAGGATCAAAGGTACTGTACTCACAAATGGAACCAAGGAAGAGGAAAGTTAGATGCTGCATGTAATTTTAGATACCATAGGGCGCTTTTGGCTTTCTAGGTCACCTTTCCCCATGCTTAGGCAGTGCTGGATCTAGACCTTGAGATGATGGGGGGAGGCGGTCCCCCCCCAAATATTTTTCGGCCCTTCGGGCCTCAGTTTGATCTAAAAATAGGCCCCCTGGGCCCCTCCCCTGGATCCGCCACTGTTAGGTGTATGTAAAACATAAGCTTTATCGGGTTCATCACCCGGTGGATGTAAGACTGAGCAACTTAAGCTGACACTCCACTCACTGTCCTTTTCAAACCGGATGCTAAAAATTCATACTCAACCTGCCCTCTATTTAACTTTTGGTTCCCTTTCTAGTCTGGAGTTTCAAGAAATTAATTTTATACCCTAGACTATTAACTCTCTGATTTCCTTAAACCACATCCTATACTAAACTTCCTTAAAAACATCCCTGAACATCAACGACACAATGTACTCCACCACCAATAGTTTAAGACGGAATCCATCGGGAAATTGAGTAATTTCAATTTTCAGTAGACAAACCAAAATAGTTTAAACAATATTGCATCCTTTTTTACATTTTTCAAGGGCTATGGATGTAATTAGCTATCTGTAATAACACCAAAGACTATTTCTCATGGGAGGCCAAGAAAATGTCAAATTTCACAAGAAAAGTGAAAACACAGGTGATGTCTAATGTCATTTGTAAGATGTCATTTTGTGAAATTTGACAGTTATTTTCTTGGGTTCTCATAAGCAAATATTCTTTGGTGTTATTGCAGACAGCTAATTACATCTATAGCCCTTGAAAAATGTAAAAAAGAATTCAATATTGTTTAAATTATTCTGGTACAAGGTTTTTGTCCACTGAAAATTAAAATTACTCGATTTCCTGATGGATTCTGTCTTAAAGCTTTTACAGCTTGCTTAGGGGAGTACACCAGGGGTAGGGAAATACAATAAACTGCTGCTTAGAAGCCCCCTTCCACTTGTAAGCCCCCTCAGTTATAGACCTGTAAACCTGTAAACAATAAAATTAAACATCTGATAATAAGCAGCTCGGACATAGGCCCCCTCACAAATGTACTAAAATGAATTCCATCTATTATGAACAGCTTTGAAGCTTAATTAAAAACCAGTAACAAAAGTTAAATGCAAACCTTATTTTGATCAGCATTGCTAAAGCTTATTGTCTTGAAGTGCTTTTTCTATTCAAGTTATAAGCTCCCTCGGATACTAAAGCGCCTGTGTTTATAAGCCCTCCTAAGGCCCCTTAAAAAGATATATAAGCCCACTGGGGCTTATAAGCAGCAGTTTACGACACTAATGTATGTAGAAGGCATGTTCAAATTATTTCACTGACATTTTGACCTGCATTGTTACAATTAGATGACTATGGACTGACATTTAGCTGTCCTTTCCAACCATTTAACCAATGTCGAAGCTCCTTGAGATCATATCCCACAGGTCCAACACGTCCCTCATATGCTATTCTACCATCTTGTACAATATAAAGCCTCTCAGGAAAGGACGCATATGCAGTAAGAGCTTGATTATCAAGAGGATCAACAACAATAGGTACCAAGGGGTCTAGCGATGCTAACATCTGGGCCGCCTGTAAACGATCCTCCATGCTTCTGTGCTCCTTGATTTCATAATTATCCTTATGAAGAGTAAGTAACAAAAAGAAATTTAATGCAAATGTGCATGAAGTAAATTATTTGACAACATTTTGGCACTTTTCAATCAAGGTTGGCTTAAACTCAGTTTTGCTACAAATTGTACCTGTTGTCCTCTTCAGTTTTTCCTTTTTTTAGGATTTGGTTTTTGTTTTTAGGCTAAAATTGATATAAGTGGGTTTTTGGACTGGTACCCAGTATGGTTTTCAGTTTTTCCAGTTTGGTTTCCTCCATTTTTCACTGACATGTCACCATAAACTAACATTTTAAACAATTAAACAAACAAAGCTGGGCCGGGTATGAAGTATCGGTATTTCCACCCAGCTTTGCAAGACAGAAACTTTCAACAGGAGACTATGAAATAAACACCCCCTAGTATTTGACTTGTTGATGAGCCCTGCTGTGGGGACAAGAAATTGTCAACAGTCATTGTTATTAGGTGGAGCAATATGACACTATGTGGGTGGGGTGGGGCGTTTTTAAAACCTTTTTTCATTTCAAGAACTTCATCATCACACGAAGGAGACAAAAAGGGCCTAAAAACCTGTGCAATGTATCCCTACCAAAGATACCTTTCTTCTCAAGAATATTTGTAGCATTCATTACCATTTTTGGCATGTGCATAAAATCCCAAGGAGAGTTCTTTATGCACAGCCCTAAGCAGTTCCTGAATGGGCAAATATACTGACTTTCCGTCCCAAAGACCCTACAAGGCTGATTGTCACTAGTACAAGTGACGGATTCGGAGTCAGAGTTGCAAACGGAGTCATAAGAGCGAAATGACCTAGTGAAAATCAAAAATCGGAGTCGTGAGTGCATGGAGTCAAAAGCATTACGGAATCGGAGTCAAAACACGTCAGAAGAATCAGAACGTTTCCATTAACAAATTTTGTTCCTCCGACTCCACTTATAACTCTGTCGCTTAAATTCCACTTATGATCTAGTGAAAACCAGATTGTCGGAGTCGGAAGCAGAAGCAGATGGATAAACCAATCACAATGCACATTCACACACTCTGTGATTGTTTCCAAGTTATTCTGCTTTTGCTCCTGACTCCGACAATCTGGTTTTCATTAGATCATATAAGCTCTACGCTTCTGATTACGACTCCTACTCCAACTCCATCGCTAGAGAAAACCAAGTGAGACCAAAATCTGCAATTTACACACCTAAGCGATACGACAAGCATTCCTGTCACTTTTATATGGGAGTACCCCCGTCCCGGGAGGAATTTGAATAACTTTAACTGAGGAAAGGTTCAACGCCGGGAGGTTACTACGGAAGCCGAGAAGGGACAATCCAAAAATATTTTGCAAATCCAAAAAAATATTTTAAATCGCAATATTTTTCTCAAATCACTGTCGAAAAGTTTGACAAATCTAAAAAACTATTGCAAATCCTAAGAAAATTTGTGGATCCGCAAATAACTTTCT